TCATCAGTGTTCATCATCTATTCCGTAAATGTTCCAAGGCCGCTCGTGACCGTGAGCACGGCTGATATACCAGTTTTATATTCTGCAAAGGTTGTATACTTTTACTATGAGTCGTGATTTACCCTTTCTCCCGAGGTGATCAGCCTCTTGACCCACTACCAAGGAAGGTCGGCAGGGTTCACTATGAAGCTTTTCAAAGGTTCGTCTAACAAGTTAGGACCATTAGATTTACTCGGTAAACAGATGTAGAGCCCTCCTTCCCAATGGCACAATGACGCGCGGCCTATACATAAGGGGACAGAGGCCGCACTATACCCAATTCGGCAAGCCATTCTTATGCCAATAAAGGTAACCACTAATAAGCTAGAAAAGGTCCTCATACTGAGCTAAAGCCAGAGCCATATAGCTCTCACAGCTGTACTGTAAGTCCTGGATGATCACTTACAGATAAGTTCTTAGGGAGGGGAATCTAGAGCACCATAAAATAGCCCAATGCTCTAGCCCCCTTGTTCCATGTTGCTAAAAAGTATCTTTTAATATTTATTGCATATATCATTAGTCAAGTTACAAGATCATGGCTTTAGTTGAGCACTAGCATCATACTACCCAATGCAATAACCCATAGGAATCAAGGAACAAGGTAACAAAGTACTAGGAAATCCTTAGTGGTAATCAAGGTAGACACATGCAGCATGAATTAAAAGATTAAAGGTGTATAGGACAATAAGGAAGATCTCATGCTATACTTGACTTAAAACACCGATCCTTCGGTAAGCTTTAACCTTCAACATTCTTCTTCTTCTTCTTCTTGATCACCACGTATATCTCACCGACTGGACGTAATCATAAAGCACCACACAAGCATCCACACAATCATACATGAAACAAACAATAGAACTAAATCAGAACAGTACACCAATCATAGAAAAATAGGTAAAAGAGTTTGAAACACGATTCTACGTATCGCTACGAATACATAGTCGCAAGAAGCACTCTAATCGAAGCTACGGTTCAAAAGATACAACTACCGAAAGATCTACTCATAAGAGAAAATATAAAACTATAAGCTTCACGTGTTTTAACTATATAAAAGCTCATATAAATTGAATGAAGTCAAATTTAGATTTGAATTATAAAACTAAAGTAAAACAAATCATATTTTATTTATTAAATCCAGTTGCATAATTATTATTCAAGATATGATTTAAACCATAAAATTTCAGAAATAGTAATATGGTAAACATTGTTACCAATGCGTAGTTTATGTTATTACAAATCCAATGCAACTTGAATGGGCTAAAATGGAGTTGAAACATAGAAGATATGAATTAAACAAGATTTCCTTTAGTAAAATAATAGATTAAATCTAACCTCGAATTTTAAAAGTTGAAAACATATCTAATAGTGGTATAAACATGTAGACAACGTAAATACGAACCTAACGCAATTTGAACGGGTTAAAACAGAGTCAAAACAGAAATTTTATGGCTAAAACAAGATTAGTGGCAAAACTGTAGATAGGTGAAAACGTGTTTTGGATCTAAACCGAAGAAACTACGTTTTCCAAAGAAAAAAACGTAATCTGTGATTGCCCTTTGGACCGTGGGTACAAATATCTAAAAACTGAGGGGCTCTTTAGCAAGATGGCCTACGAATGGGTATGGGATGATCTGGACCACTAGATCGGAGATGGACGGCTCAGATTAAAAGAGAGGGAGAAAGAGAGAGGAGACCCGGCCAGAACAGGAACTTCACGGCGACGACTTCGCCGGCATCATCGATTTCTCATCGGAGAAATTGGGGAAAACTTCTACAGGACTTAATTAGACTCGGTAATGGCACTGGGTGATGGATAAGGTCACTACGAACTCGAATCGGCGATCAATTGCATCTATGGGCGAACAAAGACGGCGAGCAACGACCTATGGCGGCGGCGGAGCAACTGCTACGCGGAACAAAGCAACACAGAGGGGAACAGAGGGAGAAAAGGGGTTGTACAGGTTTGGAAACTTGACTAGAAGCTCTAGGATGTTCTTACCATGACGAAGGAGCGGCTAACCGGCACGGCGGCGTCGGCTTCTTCTCGGCGAGCTCGGATGGCGACGCTGGGGCACAGGCGGCGCTAGAGCTCGGTTCTAGGCGGCAGCGCTTGCTTCTAGGGTTCATGGAAAGCGGTGCTGGTGCGGCTGCTATTTATGGGGGTGAGACGGTAATTAGCGGAGCGGGGCGGAGGTGGAGACGGACACGGCCGAAGAACTCCGTGCCGGTTACGAGCTCGAGCTGAGGGATGAAGCTAACAGGTAGGTCCCACCTGCCGGTGAGAGAAGAGGCAGGGTCGAGCTGTCAGTGAACCGAGGGAGAGATGGATGGACGCTTGCGCGGCTTCGGCCTGGGCCTGCCTCAGTGCTAGGCCTACGGCTGGCGCAGAGAAGGGGGGAAAAGAAGGGAGCTGGGCCAGGGGAAAATGAGAAAAGAGGGGGAAGAAGAGAAGATGGGCCACGGGAGAAAAGGCAGGCCGGCTGGGCCAAGCAGGAGGGAAGAAGCTGGGCCAGGCCGAAAGAGAGTGAGGGGAGAAGAAGAATTTCTTTGCTATTTTGTTTTCAAAACCAATTTCAATTTTGAACCAAATCAAATTCAAATAGAGTTTTGAATATACTTTTCAATTCAAATAAAAGTGAGAATCAAAGCCTAATTAGTGGACGGGCCGATTCTGTTTTCTTTTCATTGTGTTATTTGGTTGGCTTCATTTTCATATTCAGCAGGTGCTGAATCACATATTCACAGTGATCTAAATATTTATACTGCAATATACAAGTGTGAATTTCCAAGTGCTATATGCATGTGCAATTTTCCATTGGTGACTGGGACACGGGGCATGCTAGTGCAGACATGGATAGGGAAACCAGTGAAAATCACCTCACTGCAGCCTTATTTGGCTACACTCGCATCCAATTTAATCTGTATATACGACACATTTGGATTGATGTGGATACGAGTGCAACCAAACAAAGCTTACCTTAGTGGATGGCTGCAAAACATAGTATGGTGTGATCCCAAGATAGCGTGTCGGTGCTTTACCGCAGAGGATCGGAGAGATGGATCAGGCCCTGACAGGAAGCTGGCGGCAAGGCGGAAAGCGCCGGCTGCCCGGCGGATGAGATGACCATTATGCACAACTGACGACTCAATTTCTCCCTTGTTACAAGGTTTATAATTATTTCTCGAATAAATGGGTTCTCCACAAACTTGACTGCCCATCGAAGGACGGCATGCATGGGCCATCGATGAGCCAGATCGGATGAACGGTGTGGCTGAAAGACAAACGCCTTCTCTAGTTCCTCCCCTAAAGTTTACTTCCTATCTCATCGAGTGTTTGACATATGCATGGAGTATTAAATATAGATTAAAAAAATAAATAATTGCATAGTTTGTGACTAATTTGTGAGAAGAATCTTTTAAGCCTAATTAGTTCATGATTTGACAATGTGTTACTGCAGTAACACATGTGCTAATGACGGATTAATAAGGCTTAATAAATTCTTCTCGCGGATTACTGACAGATTCTGTAATTTGTTTTTTTATTAGTATCCGAACATCCTATGCAACACCTCTATGTGACACCCGATGTGATATCCCAAAACTTTACACTCTGAATTTAAACAAGGCCAAAATATAGCGGTGGAATGGTGGTGCCCAGTCCCCAAGAGCAACGGAAGTTGCAGCCATATTGCACACGTCGAGGCAGAAATTCTAAGCTGCAAGTAGTCCATGTCGAGGACTGCAGAAGAGTCTCTATGTCTGACCATTCATGCCTGATGAGAAGACTTGTTGACAGCTAAATTTGCACTTTGATGGTAGGTGAATGATTTTGCGGTGTTAATTGACTATAGATTATTAAAGTGTGTTGAGGCTGGAATGCACCACCACACGAGCATACTCTGGTGCACCTGCAGAGGGTGCAGCGCCCCAGTGAGAACCAGCCTGGACGGTTTCAGGAACTGGCAAGGTTAGTTTTAAGAGACTAGGTCGTCCATTAGTCAGTAAACCGCATATACCTTATTAGCTTGTCTGTGTGCCATCCGAACTTCTCCATGCGAGATTCACGTATCATTGATTCCTTCCCAGACTTGCCTTGCATCAGTTCTTCCTGAATTACTTCATGATAATGTCCCTGGTCCTCAGGAAGATGGCTGGCCCTTGACACTCTGAGCAGATAAGCTGCTTGCCCGTCTGCGTATTCCGTTGTCTTCATGCATGATTTAGCTGAATTAATCCAAATGGATCAAATAATTAGTAATCCGGTCAATTAGAACAGCGAAATCATCACTTTACTATCAAAGTCCACATTTAGTCGTCAACAAGACTTAACAATATATAACGTAACTGGCGCGTACCCCTCCCTGATATATTGTCCTCTTTACTTTTCTTTGCAGAAAAAAATGGACATATAGCGTGCTCATAGAAAAAATAAAAGTGGTAGTGCATGGTTTTGACTTAAACTTTCTGGTTGTACATGATTTCATTTTTCTTTGAATAAGCGTCACACACACGATTGAGCACTACTAACTAGTAAGACTCAAAAAGACTTAATTACTACTAACTTTAATCCATAGTCTAGACAGTTTGCCAAAAGCAATGCTTCAGCTAACAGATTTCTAACGTTATACTAGCAATCTTCTATTGTGAATCACCAGCTTTTTACTATTTTAATTGGTTCAGCTTGACCCAGGGGTACGATTTCTACCTCAATGCCCACCAATTTTGAACGCTGCAATAGAAAAACGGAGAAACAGGAAAAACACACGGCACTTTGGACTGCTTAACGATCTGGAAGGATATGGTCAACACATGTGCATGGAAAATTGAACTGGACCAACCTACTGCTTGATGAACCTTGAACCATTAATATTAGTGGAGCTACTCTTAGTACAACTCGATCATTTAACCCCAGCTCCTGCTCACCCACCTACACCTTCATTCCTGAGCGTGTGTGTCTCCAAATGGACATTCTCCTCTCTTCAGTTCTTGGTGAGCTCACATCTAGATCCATAAATTTCTTCACCAGCAAAGTCTCCAACAGGACTCTGTTCGACGTGAAGGATCGCCTCCACAAGGTCTTGCTCAGGGCACAAGTTATCATTGATGAGGCCATGGGGCGGCACATCACAAACCAAGCTATGATCATCCAGCTGGGCATGCTAAGAGATGCCGTGCACCGAGGTTACTACATGCTCGACACCTACATATACCAACCTAACAACGAGGAGGAAGCCAAAGATCAGGTTATGAGACAGTACTCTTCATCTCTTTCAATAGTAAATTCTGTAAAGCGTCTATGTCTGTCCTGTAGAGGTGATCGTCTGGCTTTGAAAGAGCTTCAAGAGATGGTCGACAATTTAAGCTCCATGATCGTTGATGCGAATGAGCTCGTCCTGTTCTTGACAAGTTACCCTCGCCTCTATCGCCAACCTTACAGCATGCATCTCCAACTGGCCTACTGCATGTTTGGCCGCCAAATGGAAGCACAACAAGTGATCAACTTCTTGTTGCACCAACAACCTAATAGTGTTGAGGAACTGGATGTGATGCCGATTGTTGGATCAGGCCATGTCGGCAAGAGCACCCTTGTCGCTCATGTTTGCAAGGATGAAAGAGTACGTGCTCATTTCTCAGGAATCTTGTACTTTGACATCCAGGGTTTCGCAGATGACGACCTAGCTGCTTTCAAAGATGAATGTGAACTCAAACATCGAAATCTCGTATCTGAGTCAAACTTGGAAGGAAGGCTGCTCATTGTTATTGAGTTAATTGGGGATATTAATGAAGATTCATGGAGTAGGTTGTATTCTACTTCTAAAGAGTATGCACCAAAGGGTAGTAAAATCATAGTGACAAGCCGGTTTGAAAATATTGTTAAATATGGAACAGCACAAACTCTAACTATGAAGTATCTCTCCCATGAGGCATTTTGGTATTTCTTCAAGACACTTACGTTTGGAAGCATGGATCCTAAGATGCACCCAAGGCTCACACACATGGCTATGGAAATAGCTAGGATGGTGAGAAGATCCTACATTGGTCAAACATCCTTGCTTGTTTGCTGAGGGATAACTTCAACGTCCATTTTTGGTGCAAGATTCTTGCTGTCTTGAGAGGGTATCATCGGATCCATTTCTCCAGATTTGATGAGCATCCGTGTGATCGTCTAAACCAGAATAGACCTGCACTTATTATGAGATTGAGTACATCATCTCAAGAGATTGTGCTTGGTCATCGGTATCAACGCTTTTCAGAAGAAGAGGTTCCGACGATGAAAATCCAAGATGTAATGTATGGAAGTGTAAAGGTTGATGGAAAATTTGAGGTGCTATGGAGGTCTCCTATACCACCCTACTATAGTTATGTCCACACTTGTGAGACCCCAGAGATAAAAGCTAGATCTGCGAAGAGGAAGCGTACTATATAGCATGCTTTGTTAGTTTCTTCACAAGGATATGTTCATTGTACGAATATATAAATTATGTGTTTCTTATGATGTCAAAAAGGTTAAAACATCATGAAAGAGGTAGAATTGCTATTACGTTGTCACGTGTAACAAGTGTTTTAGCTTTGACAGAATAATATATTGCGTATATGGCCATAGATTTTTAAGATAAATAATGTTGAATTTGCTTCTTGTAACAAATTAATTACACGCTGCAGATTGGTCGATCGGTGGTGTCAAGGACCGCAGAAGGGAGAAGCTCTCACTTGCATGCTCCGTTTCCATGTGCAGTGCGTGGACCTGTTCCGTTTTCCTTGTGGCATCATAATTTAGTTTCCCGACACAGTAATAGAAAGGTATGCAGCACAGGAAGATAAAAATGAATATATACATTACTATTGGGAATATATATCCAAGTGTAACTTCTAAGTCTGCAGTTGTTGTTATCCTGCAATGGAGAACGATTACAGAAAACGTTAGATGACCATTGCGCACAAATTGCTCCTTCAGTTTCTCCCTTATTAATTACAAGGTTTCTATTTCTCAAACAATTGGCCAAGTCCAGTCCCCCAAAGCAACGGAAGGTCACAGAACAAAGTTGTCTGCTGCCATTTTCCACACGGCGAGGCAGGAATTCTAAGCTGCAAGTAGTAGAGTCTCTATCTTTGACCATTCAGGCCAGAAAACACCAAAGCCAGTCTATGGATGGCCCATGGTCCATTTTCCTCTCATTGCTGTCCCTTTCATCCTTTTTTCAGGCAACGCCGATCTGGGTTTTGGGTGCCGGCCCGAATGCAAGTACAGAGTGAAGTTGCTAGCAGACAAGCAGCATCTAAGTTTTCAGGCATGGAAGAAGGAATGCATGGTTAACTGATAATGTCCCCTCACATCTTTCAAGCCTATTGGTTCACAGACTCCAGCACCTGGGCACATTTTAGACTCAGATCCAACGGTTCACAACCTAGTTACAACCCAACCAAGTCACAACTCCTGTTGCATCGCATAATAGATGTACAGCGTCTAGTATACTCTATTCAACGCGCCAGCCATCCCAGTTCCTCAACCTCGACCGTAAAAAATCATTCGGCAATAGTAAAACTCACCTCACTACTGTAGTATATATCAGACAATGCTCGTTCGACTCTTTATGGCCTTGCCAAACTAGTATAACTGTATATGATTGATGTGACATTATTTAGCATTAGTTAATTTAATCGGATCCTACACCTCCTAAATTAGTTAGCTTGTCCATTGGCCTTGTCCGTAATCTGGCTAGCCTAGCCCTACATAAACCTACTCTATGTGCATTTCGTGGACTTCATCAGCGCTGAAATATACTCCCTTTGTCCAAAAACAAAAGAGTGATGCTATGGTGCCGTGGGAGGCAATTGCAGCGATGCATATCGGCTCCGACCGCACAAAGAAGGCGACGGCCCAGCTGCTGAAGCTAGAGTATGCCACCCTCAAGTTTAAGGATGGCGAGTCGGTGGAGGATGCCGGTGAAGTACATCCAGATCGCTCTCTCCATAGAGATGATGTTGGACTTGTCCACCCTCACTATTGAGGATATGACAGGTCGTCTGCGGATGGTGGACGAGCGCATGGAGCAGGCCACAGCAACAACGGACTACGGCAAGCTGCTGCTGACAGAGGAGGAGTGGGCTGCCCAGATGAAGGAGAAGAAGTCCGAGGAAGCCTCCTCCAGCAGCGGTGGCGATGGCAAGCGCCGCGGCAAGGCTTCTTCGGAGAAGAAAAAGAAGAAAAAGAAGGTCGACCCCAACGCCTATCGGCGCTGCGGAAAGACGGGCCAATGGGCAAATGAGTACCCAAATCACAAGAATGAGAAGAAGGCTTAGGCTCATTTAGCGTAGGCTGATGAGGATAATGAGGCCACTCTCCTAATGGCGACGTTCTGTGCATTGCACGACGTTGAGGCCAAGGAGAAGGGAGAGGTGATGGCGGTGGAAGGGCACGGCAAGGCTCTGAAGGCTGTCAACCTCGACGAACCACGCACCCAAGTCCACCTCCGATGTGTGGGCAGCGAGCAGGAGCAGCGGTGGTACCTGGACTCCGACGCCAGCAACCACATGATGGGTTCCAAGGAAGCCTTCTCCGAGCTCGACGACAATGTGACCAGCACGGTGAAGTTCGGTGATGGCTCAAGGGTGACAATCCGATGGTGTGGCACCATCATCTTCAGGTACCAGAACGGCGAGCACCGTGCGCTGACGAATGTTACATCCTACAGCCGTGTTCAAGCATCATCAGCATTAGCCAGCTGGATGAGCGTGGTAGCGAGGTACTGATCAAGGACGGCGTCCTCAGGATCAGGGACCGGGAGCAGCGCCTTCTTGCCAAGGTGAAGAGGTCCCAGAACTGGTTGTACCTACTCGACTTGAAGGTGGAGCAGCAGGTGTGTCTGGCAGCACGACACACCGAGGAGCCATGGCTGTGGCATGCTCGGTTCGGCCATCTCAGCTTTGACGTGCTCGGTCGACTGGAGAAGATGGTCCGAGGACTGCCCCACATCAAGCACGCAAGCAAGCTATGTGACAGCTGTCCGGCCGGGAAGAAGAGGAGGCTGCCGTTTCCAAAGGCGGCCAAGTATCGTGCGGCGGACGCTCTTGAGCTCATCCACGGTGATCTTTGCGGGCCAATCACGCCAGACACAAACGGTGGTCGGCGGTACTTCCTTCTGCTCATGGATGATTGCAGTCGCTATATGTGGTTGCAACTCCTAACGAGCAAGGATGAGGCGGCGGAGGCGATCAAGAAGTTCATGGCGCGCGCGAAGGTGGAGAGCGGCAAGAAGCTGCACGTGCTGCGGACTGATCGCGACGACGAATTCACTTCGGTGGAGTTCACTGCGTACTGCGCGGGTCAGCGTGTGGTGCAATACCACACCACGCCGTACTCACCACAACAGAATGGTGTAGTGGAGTGGCGGAACCAGACGGTGGTCGGCATGGCTCGATCCATGATGAAGGCCAAGAGCATGCCGGCAAGGCTCTGGGGTGAGGTGGTGACCACGGCGGTGTTCATCCTCAACCGCGCGCCCACAAAGGCCCTGAAGGGCGTGACGCCGTTTGAAGCTTGGTATGGGCGCAAGCCGAACGTGTCCTTCCTCCGGACATTCGGCTGCATCGGCCACGTCAGGAAGATGAAGCCGGTGCATGAGTCAATATCATTGTAATAATGTGATTGCAAACTCAAGTTACCAAGCACAAAGCAAGTACAACCCTGATTTAGTTACCATCTTGAAGATGAGTCCAAGACAGCTTCAAACTAAGTAGCAAGCTCCTGACTTTAGAAATAAATGTTACTACTAATTAGTACCAATACCAGCTATCTAGAATGCATTTAGGCCTGCAGAACAAGGCCAGCACAGCAGCAAAATCATGTAGATATCCCACCAAAAACCATGTTTCTGTTCTACTCCCTCCATTCAAAATTATAAGTCGCTTTAACTTTTTTGGTTCATCCATTTTGCTATGTATCTAGACATATTATTATATCTAGATGCATAGGAAAATGAATGTACCAAAAAAGTCAAAGCGACTTATAATTTGGAACAAATGGAGTAGTAATTTCCTTCTTGATTTAGAAGGCCTTGTACTTGTAATTTGACTATTTGAGCTTCTTATGCACTTGACATGCTACAGACTGCAACATCTCCTGGCCCCTCATCTCTAGAGACCCCAACAGCAGCTCCTGGTTCATCATCTGTAGAGACCACAACACTAGCTCCTGCTCCCTCATCTGTGGAGACTGTTCCTGGTGCTGCATAAGAAACACAAATACAAACATGAGGAATCGAAGGTAACAATGAGCATTGGGTCTACACAAATCACACAAGAGCCATGAAGTTGCTTTTTAAGGCCAACAAAACAGAGATGATTTATTATCCAGTTAATGGTCACAGATCCCACATCATCATTAAGATGAACTCAAACTAGTCCAGATATAGCAACACATCCCATTTGTATTTCTACGATGTTATCACATCAAGTGACATTATCATACAAGAGATGATTAAGGAACATATATATCATTAAAGATGGGCATGAGGCTAATAACTGAACTGTAGAAGCTTATGTCGGTAAAACCTTTTATGTAGATAATATATAGGTAGCAGTAGGAGTAATCTGGTTTTTACATGAGGTTAAGATGTCACACTTTGAAAGACTCAATGTTCTTCTCCCCGCAAAAGAAAAGAAGAAAAGAGAACACCATGTTGTTGGGCCCATATGCAATCGACCATATTTCCATGCTGAATTAATACTTGCTGTGCAAATGGGCAAACTAAAAAGCAATCAAATATGTACCTGGAGTGCGGAAGGTCACGTAGGGAATGATGTAAACCGAGCCTAAGAAGGGGCCGTTTGTTTCCGCGATGTCGTATCGCGCGTTAGCGTTTGAGCGAACGCGGCTCCGAGGCCGCGTTTTGGGAATCGCTGAGCCGCGTTCATTTTCTGCTGCGAAACGCGCAAGCGCCGCAGACCGTTTGGCGGGATTTTCCGCGCATCTCAGTCGCCAACGCGCTTATGAGCGGAAACAAACAGGCCCGAAGTCCCCTACCTTCTTGCTCCTCCCTGAATTCAGATCGATAGTGAAATACCCAACACGTGTCCTTAAGAAAACGACACCAGCTCCTGTATCTGCAAAGGCAGCCACCCAAGGTTTGTCTTCTAAGGGCATGTACAACCCACAGATTGGGGTTCGTCTCTAAACGCCTCGAATCTATCGTTAAGACAGATATAAAGATAGGTCATACAACTCATAAACAGGGGTCCGTCTCTAAGCTATTTAATATTTTGCATGTAGCTAGGATCTACAATGGGTACGCCCGTTTATTGTGTAGCTATTTGATAGAAAATGTATCAAGGATAAATAAGAGCAGCATGATACCAAAGAAAGCATGCTATATAGGAAGATCCGGAGTTACCACTGCTTCAAAGATCATAGTAGCAAAGCTCTATTCACATTAAAAAAAATAGTAGTGCACCATAATCAGACAACAGCTAGTAACCTGATAGCTCGGTTCACATTCAGAAAATAGCAGCACATTTAGAAAATAGCAGCACATATAGGATAAAGTTCACATTCAAATAGGATAAAGTTCCTGGACAGTAAGATAATAGTTGCTACAACATTCATAGCTGCAAGTCCTCATAGCCCAGGGTTTTGCAATAAAGCTAACAGGATGATGATGTTCATAGCAGTTCACAGCAAGCTTAATTTCAATCTCCACGGCAGCAGTCTTCACAGCAACTTTACATCAGCTTCACACTGCACACATTCAGAAAAATCACAGTGCTCACAGGATTGCTCTAACTGAAGATTCAGAAAATTGGCACTCAACTGAAGATAGGATCATTGTAGTACTATATGCAGATTTAACTATATCTGGTTTAGCATCTAGCCCTGGCGTAAGCATCACTGTAAACAAAGGGGGTGCACATCAAAGAAATCTTAAACTGATAGCATATAGCAATCGAAGCAACACTAGTAGGTACTACAAGCAGCAGCACGCATCTCTGTCAAAGTTGGGGAAGCTGCCTCCGCTGGATCCATCGATGGACGATGGCGCCGTGGCTCTGTCAAACATATTTGAGCTTCGATTGCACTGTCAAACAAAATAGCGCATCTCTGTCAAACAATCCCAGGGACTGGCACTGACCTGCTCAGGGCGGAGCTCACCCACGTGGCTCCCAGTGGCCAGGGCGGAGCGGCGGAGGTCGCCTGCGCGGATCACGGTGGCGGGGCGGAGCTCCCCGTTCGCAGCCCGCGGTGCGTGGAGCTGGCCCGCGCGTCCTCGGCGGCATGGCGGAGGTCGGCGCGCGCAGCTTGCAGCGCGGCCCGTGGCGGCCGCGG